TAGAAACAACTCTTGACGGTATTTCAAATGTTTTATTTGAAAGAAGTTATGATGGCTTCAACAATGATCAAATAACTGGGTGGTCTTCCGGCCCTGGTATGGAATACTATCGATGGCTGAGAGGCCCTATCAATCATCTTCAAAGAGAATAAAAATCAGAATATGTGGCAAATACAATTCGTCGCATCATAGATTTTTTCAACATATGATGATCGCTCCTCATGGAATTTATTCTTAAAAGGGAGATAATGTTATGGACATATGCATATGAGCTAATAATTATATATGTAAATAAGTAGAAGTAAGTAAAAGTAGATAAAAGTAAGTTAATTCTATAATATTTGTTATGAAAGCTTCCTAGAGGCTTTATAGATGCTGCTTTGACTTTATAGGTATCTTTAGTTGACTTTTTGGATTAAAAACGTGGTTAACAAGTTGGCCATGTACCAATCATGTTGTTAGCTTGAAGACCAAGCTAACCATGTGGCCCACACATAGAAAAACTTGCCTTGTAAGTCAAGGCATGTATCCTACAAAGTCAAGACATATTGAAGGTCCTATAGAACATCACCACATAGCCTCTGGTTAGATAATATATATAGAGACAAGAATAAAGCCCTCTTCACTCTTGTCAACTCTTTTCTTGTTTCTAGTCTAGTTTCAAGGGTCTCAAGTTTTCTTGTCTTTTGGCAATAGCCATTCCAATTTCTTTCTTAATATACATATTGAGTTATATCTATTTTGTCATTTTTCTTTGAAAAAAGTCTCACTTGTTTATTTTTTTTTATCAAGTTCTTGTCCTTGATAATTTTATAAAATTTTGCCATATAGCTTTTAGTTAGATAGTATATATAGAGGCAAGAATGAAGCCTTTTTTTTATTCTTGTCAAGATCTTTCTAGTTTGTATTCTTGTTTTTAGATTTTTTAGTCTTCTTTTCTTTGGTAGTATCTATTCTAATTTAATATCATATCATCTTTGAGTGATTTTCTAGCCTTTTTGAATGATACAATAGTAAATTGACCTTTTAATTCTTTGAGATTCACATCCTTAATACTAAGACATTAAAATTGAATAAAAAATTGTATTTAGTTGATAAGTCTTTAAAACTTAGATCTTGTACTATTTAACTCCTTTAAAAGAACAAATTTTTTTTACTAGTACTTTTGAATGAATTTTTAAAGATGGTGCACTTGTTGAAGAAACTCTTGCTTTTTGTATGTCTTCATGGTTAATTATACTTGATGCTGATTGAAGTTGTATTCAAAGTTAATGCAAAGTAAGTATTAAATCTCTCATTTGTCCTTATATCTATACTATGGCATTTTGAATGACTTTAATTTGTCATATTTATAAAGACTTGAGAATTTCTACACCAAAAAGGGAAAAAAAAAGAAAGTAATATTAGAAAAAAAATATCAATATAGAGGAGCATAATTTATAATCTCTAGAATACTTGATGTATTTAAGCATAAAAGTATAAGACAATTTTTGTAAAAGAAGGTCAAACTTTGATATTGTTAATGTTAGTCTTATTAAACCATAAAAGACATGAATCTAAAAAAAACTTAAAAGACAATACAATGATGTAATATTAAAAAAGAAAAAAAATAAAAATAAAATATATGAATATAAGATAGAAAATAATTAAAATAAATATTATCAGATAAAAAAAGACTAATGTTTTTTTTAAAAAAAATTGAAATATAAAAATGACATTGATAAGATTGAAGAAGGCCTTAGTCATGCTTCTATTTATACTAACTATTAGAAAGACCTTGTAGAAGCTTTTTCAGGACCATGAGACTTGTGGCCAAAATATCAAGTTGTAGATTGCTTCTAACATAGCTTTCACAAAGAAAAGTTAAGAAAAAAGACATGTACAAAATTATATTGACTAGTACTACCTAATAGAAACTGAAACAAAAAAGAATTAGATTGAATTCAATTACCATCATTTTTTGAAAAATTGAAATAGAATTGTTAGTAATATGGATGTGCATATATATATATATATATATATATATATATTCTAATATGTCAATTTTTGGCTATCCATACAGTTTAAAAGAACATCAAGTTTCTTGTGATTTTCTTTTTTTTTTTTTTTTTTTTTCTTTTTTTTCCTTTTTTTAAAAATAGAGAAGTGAAACTTACTTTGAATAGTCTTGATGTAGATCTCTTCTAGAACTAGATCCATATAAGGCCATTGTTATTGAGATGGCAAATTTTTTGTATGAGCCTCCTTTACTTGCACCAAATTATGATAATATAAATATTTTTTGAAGGGGTGGCTGTTGTAAAGCTGCTCAAAATAATCTAGACGGTAGAATCTTATCAAGTATGATGTATTGCACCTTGGATTTTGGATGTTGAAGTCAATATTTAGAGCATGTTGGAAGAAGCAGGTTCAATTTCCCAGCCCTATGTGGAGAAGGGTACGGTCTTGTTTGATTGAAAAATGGTGTTAATCTATTGGAGCTGTGGTTCAAAAAATACCCAACTCATTTACTTTAATAGTTCCCTACTTTAATTTTGAAAAACCATCAGTCAAGGACAATTCTTCATTTTACATCTGATGTCATGTATGCTTTAACTTAAATATACATATAAATTATAAATTATATACAAAATTTACACATACATGACATCAGATGTAAATTTTTTTATTTTCTTACCAATATTATTTGAGTGCTTAATTTCTTGTGTCAATAATACTAGACTAGCTTCCATCCTCTATCTATGTCAATACAGACACAAAATTATAGAACAGTGGTTCTAATATTTACTGCAACATGTTGAGTGTACCACCCAAATTTTATGAGCTTCTTATTTTTATTTTTTAAAAAATCGAATTCTAGCCAGCCCCTTTGCATCAGGCAAAGATCTTTAGAGCATAATCCTTGTGGGGAAATAGACACTCAGCATTAAATTGCATTGTTCATATCTAGAACAAACATAATGCCTCAAGTTGTGCGTAATGAAGTAAGCATCTGAAGCTGGATTTTGGTTTCATGAACATTGATGCATGTGCAATTAAAAAATTTCAACAAGAAGAACCTGTAAAATGAAGCTAAGGGCAATAAGAGAAACTTATACAATCAATCCAAGTAAAGAGATTAATATGGCTGAGTTGTTCTAAAACGAAAGTGAGTATGCCTTCTAATCTGCAAATGTTTTTTTTCTACCCTCTCAATCATCTTAACACAATTTCACAGCACTTACCTCTAATTAGAAATTTAATATAACTCCAAATGGAATCAATGGATGTATTTTCCTAATTAGGGTTTGAGCATAGAGGTGCCAAATTATTGCCAAGTCCACTGCATTATTTCAATCATCTCCAATTGCCAAACCATATGATTGGAATCCACACTCTAACAATCAGTGCAGAAGGTGAAAGGTTGAATCATGGACTAAAGACTTAGCAATTTGTGCTGTATCACTGTGACCCACACTATATCACTGTATCACTATAATGCTGACCTATATTCAAGAAAAACACAGAGTTCCAGCTATTTGTTTATCAATCGTGTGCTCATGTGTTGTTTTCATGGTAAGTGTCAGGCATGTATGAAAGGTAAAGCATAAAGTTATCATGCACTTCAGTTTAATAATGGTGATAACACATTGGTTACAAGTTTTATTGCCCAACCTTTCACTAATCACCATTAAAAATCAAAGTTTAAGTCACAACTATTGCATTGTTTTGTAGAAGGGGTTTCTGTCTCCATCATGGGAGTTTAAAAAGAGGATGCTGAATCACGGCCATTTGGTACACGTCACCTTTGCAAATACCACGACCGGTTAATCCGGTGCCCGGTTCGTGGATGAACCAGGTGGTCCCCGTCCTACAGTGAAGTGCACACTCCCCCATAGCCTCGGGAGCTTTATTCCCCTCATTTCTGGAGATTCAGCCACCGATGCATTCGCCTTTCTGAGGATATGAGAGATTCTGTCGCGAGTAGAACGATGACTGGTTGCCGGGGATTGTACCGGGCCCGAGTTCGTCAGAAATTCACTTAGTTAGAGCTCAAGTTGGGCACTCTGCGTCACTCTTTCGAATCACACGCTTTACGAGTGCTTGATTCGAAGTTTCCGAATTTCTAGCATAAATTTTGGAAGGGGATTTTCTACGAGGAAGTGCTCTCAGGTTCGAGGATCACGAGTATTACTTTGGTGAAGGATTTCCTACATCGTTTTATATGCTTTCACAGGCGAATCGAACAACAATTGAAATTTGAGAGGGGAATTCTTTGAAAAACATGTGTCATGTGAAATTTGAGAGTGATTGTACCATTTAAAATTTGACATTTCTTTCGTTGCTCTTAAAGCCACTTTTTCTTCAAAGTGCCAGATGTAAAATACGAGAAGAGGTTGATGTGCTTTCATAAGACTTTCTGTTTGTATTCAACTCCTGGTAGAAAAGTAAGTTGACGTATTTCCAGAGAGTCAAGAGTTTTAATTTTTTTTGTTTATTGATTTTTATGTTTTGCACTCCAAGATTGCAAGAACGGCGATGTACATTGGAACCTTGGCTCCGCAAATTCTACATGAAAACGGTGGCAGATCATTTTCCAAGTATTATGGCATCGTGTCCCCTGGAGAAGCAAGTCGAGGTCGTAAGAATTCTCTATGCACAGTGGAAAGTCAATCAACTGGTCCGAAAGATTCTTCGGTATTTTCTTACCTGAAGGCTGTAATGAAATTGAACCTCATCTTCAAAAGCTCGAGATTCTTAATTTACACAGAACCTTATCCAGTACAAACGGTGGACTAGCATGGTAGTCGAATACGGCACCTCCATGATTATCTGTTCCGCAGTCATGCATACTAATCCCTACGATGATTTATACGATGATTTATCCCTACCGTTCTATTTTAGACTCCGATGTTTAGATTTCAGTCTTATGAAGCTTCTTTAACTAATGAACGAATATTGTAACGGCGAGCTTTCACTTCATCTGCAATTATCGCCGTTGTTGCCAAACGAACGCCCAAACTCGTTAGTAAAGAAGCAACTACCCTAGTCGCTTGGTTCTTCACTTCCAACGGGAAGTTGTTCGTCGTGAGACGCCAACGATTGCATGTCCTCCGGGTCATGAGTGGACGTGGAGGGGCGATTGATTACGGGATTGGAGCAATGGCACCGTCAAGCGCACCGCCTTGTTCGCGTTGCATATGTTCCATTGCCATCAGCCTGGTTTGTTGTTAGCGAGTATCGGTGCCCTCTGCAGCGGTGGCAGAGGTAGACCCGAGTTTTTAGTCCTTGCTCACGCACGTCATGCCCGCATTCCGCAGGACGATTCACCGTGGATATAAATCCGAGCCGAAGTGGACGTGTACTCTTTCGGTTTAGCGCTCATAAGTCTCTTTTGGTGTAGCGAGGGGAATCTACGATACAAAGAGGAGTGCTCTGTTGACTTGGTTCTGTGTTGACACTTGCAAGGATTGTGCATGAAATCAGTAAATTTGTTGAAAGGTAAAGCTTTATCGGTAATGCTATTTAGTTAGTAGCGTCCTTAGAGGGAGGTAACAGTGCCTGGCGGAATTGAACCGCAAAAGAACTGTAATGGAGGAGGAAGTGGGACAAGAGTGTGAGAGGGAGTGGGACAGGTTTGTCCACATGGCTTAGGGTGTGAGGAGGAGTGTATGCTAGGCGGGGCCGGGTGTCTGAGAGACTGCTAAGTGTGATTTAGCACAGTAGTGGCGGAAATTTCAACCGAAGATGAGGTTTCTTGGTGGTTGATGGCAGCGGAGAAATGTAGGAGTTCTGTGAAGGAAGTTGAAGCAGTGGATTAGGTTTTGAGGTGTTTGTAGGTGTTGATTGTCGGGTTTCACTAACTGGCAGTGCATGCTGATAGAGTTGATTATTTCTGTGAGACAGAACTTGTAGCAGTCCTGAAGAACCTTTACTGTTTGGTGCAGAAGTACTCGTACTAGTTCTGCGCGTTGTCAGAGTTACATTGTGTGGCTGTTTTTGATTGTATGGGGGAGAAATACGTGTCCGCGCGGAACCTGATATTTAGAATGCATAGCCAGGTTTTTTCTAGAAAATAAGCTCATTCGTTGCTAATAATATTGCTTGGCGTACGAATTTGTAAGTTTGTTGTGTGAGAGATAGAGTGCCGGCGTAGATTACTTGGGCGATTGTCTCTGCGGATTTAATGCTGGGACTACTTCGGGAAGTGAGCTCTAATTTGTGTTGGTAGCCAGTATACAGCAACTGAGAGTCCTATTTTTTGAAGTTCAGAAAGAGGTCATTTTGAAGTTGTGGTTTATTCCTGTCAGGAACGCCTTCATCCTAAATTTTCATGGAACAAGACTGCTGTTCTTACACAAGAAAGGGTTTTGGAGGTTTTTCAGAGCCTCACACATCGAACATCGTAGTCCTAGCTGTTGTGTCTCGATTATTGTAGCTTATTATATTTAGTCTTTACGGTTACATTTCTTGGACATGTTATGGGTAAGCACACCTTTGTTTTTAACTTCTCAGGTTGCTTGTGTTTACTTTTAGCGTGTGTAGCATGAACATTCAGACTTATTCCAAGGCCAAAAGATTGTGGCCTTTAAGCAACCTTTTCCCTAGTGTAGGGAACCCTCATCCTTTTTTAAAATTCGCTTGCACAAGTTGAACTTAAATCCTTGCAATTTTCCGTTTGCTTAAGTAGTTAAAATTGTTCGCCATGACGGCTCGGGCTTTGCGGAGATTGGTGGACACCGTTTCCAGAGATGTATTTGAGGATATTTACAGATGTAGCGAAATGAAGCAAACTGGGGTGAGTCTCAAGTACATGATGGATTTTGGGTCCTATCCATCGAAGAAGAATCTTCTTTTGTCGTCGCAGTTTCTGCACAACGAACTTCCTGTTCGCCTGGCTCATCGAGTGACTGAGCTTGAGAATCTACCTCACGGACTTTCTACCAAAGCCCCTGTCCTCAAAGTAAGTTTTCGCAACTATCGAGCTTTTTAGTTACAATCTACTGACTATTCATCTTGTTACCGAATACTGAAGCCAGCACTTGAATATGAATGATGTATCTAGTTATTATTATGCGAAAGTGTTTGTTTTTTGGCTTTTGTCGAAACCAGGCGTTACAGCACCTGATTCTGACGAATTCTTTGAGACATGGGTTTTTTTTGAGTTGCCCTAGTCAATGTAAATCTCATTTTCGCTGCTGGTGTTTCATCCCCTCTCCTCTAGTCCCAATTTTTTTTTTTTTTTTTTTTTTTTTTTTTTTTTTTTTTTTGTTTTGTTTTTGTTTTTGTTTTTTTTTTTAATTTTTAATTTTAGTTTTAATTTTTAAATTTAAATTTAAACTTTTTTTAAAAAAACTTATGCTTTCTCCAACTTACTGATCTTGAGTAGTGCTTGGAAACATTATGATCATGTTTTGAGTTCGTTTTGAATCTGATCGAACGGAACCGTCAATATCTCAGTATTACTTTTTGATTCAAGCAAATTCTAATAAATGTATTGAATACTTCTTCAGGTTCGTGATTGGTACCTGGATTCTTTTATGGACCTTCGAAACTTCCCTGAGATTCAAGATATGGAAGACGAGACAAGATTTACTAATCTTATAACGAGGGTTAAAATGCGGCATAATGATGTTATGCCTACTATGGCAATGGGAATTCAGCAGTTGAAGGAGGATTTGGGTCGCAAAGTCGGTCTAAACGAGATTCCTGAAATTCACCAATTTCTTGACAGATTTTACATGTCACGAATCGGTATCCGAATGCTTATTGGTGAGGTGTTTTCTTTGTGGATTGTGCCTAGTTTGTCTTAAATGTAAATGAAGGTTGCTTTTGACACCCACATGCCTCACGTGTTCTTGCACTCAAGCCCTAGATAGCGATCAATCGGTTACTGCTTAATTTTGATGTAATAGCAATTGGTTGTGAGGACTCTTGATTTAGTATATGAGTTGTCCAGTATTGATGTAGGAAGAAACAAATGTGTTGTATTATAATATTTTGTTCTTTGTTCACTACAGGGCAACATATTGCATTGCATAATTCTCCTCCTCCCACCTACATCGGCCTCATCTGTACGAGTGTTTCTCCTGTGGAAGTTGCACAAAATGCTATAGATGATGCTCGATCTGCATGTATGCGCACATATGGAAGTGCACCTGAAGTTCACGTTTATGGAGATCCAAATTTTACATTTCCGTAAGTACATTGGGGTGGAAAGAAACGATTATGTTCTTAATTCTCGGAGTATGCACAACCAAATTTAGTTTTACATTTCTGGTTTTTCATTTTATATTTTACAGAAGCAGGTCATGACCTTTTCTTCTTTTTTGATCTTATTGTTGTTTTAATGCTTCCAAGCTCAAGTGGCCTGAACATTGACAAGACTACCGCATAAATGGTCTTGCTGAATGGTTGTACCAAGATCTATGATTCGTGACTTCGTACAAGCTGACTCGAAGTTGTAATTTGTGATTTCGCAGGTACGTTCCTACGCATCTACACCAAATGCTGTTTGAGTTGATCAAGAACTCTTTACGTGCAGTTCAAGAGCGTTTCCAAGATGCTGACCATGAGTGTCCTCCTATTCGTGTTGTTGTAGCTGATGGTATTGAGGACGTTACAATCAAGGTACACATTTTGATTCACTTTTTGCAAGTACGTTTAGAATTTAGGCTTCCCGAGGCACTTATTGCTGTTACATTTCGACCGTAGGTTGGAGTTTCTGCTTTTTCAATTTTAAGTTTGAATATATCTGTGCACCCATGGGTTATATGTCCAGGTTTTACTGCGCGCTTTTATGGGAAACACTGGTTTAGCTTCATACATGGGTTGTATAAAAGCTGACTACATATCAGAGGACAATTTATGATTCTTAGCCTTGATTTGACAGATTTCGGATGAAGGAGGTGGTATTCCCAGGAGTGGGCTACCAAAAATCTGGACGTATTTGTACAGTACAGCGAAGAATCCAGTGGTGCTTGATCGGCAAGATCATGAGTTGCCTAATGTTATGGCTGGGTATGGTTATGGTTTGCCTATCAGTCGACTTTACGCGCGTTATTTCGGAGGTGATCTACAAGTAATATCTATGGAGGGATATGGTAAGTGTTCCCGCTCGCATTCAGCACTAGTATCTCGTTAGAGGATTCTACCTTTTCTCTTATCTGGATGTAGGGATTCAAGTAGTATGATCGGTTTTTACTCATCCACGCCGTTTATTAAAATCCTGCACTGGAACTCCATGCATTTAACTAGGCTTGACACGTAGTGCGTATTTTTTTTCATCGTTACAGTTTAGCAAGTCTAAAGGAAAACTTGTTGATTTCTTGCAGGTACTGATGCTTACTTACACCTTAACAGGCTTGGAAATGTTCAAGAGCCTCTGCCCTAGTTCATAAATGAGATTAAAACGAGTAGTTTTGGGTCACTGATAATTGGTAGTTTTTAGGAGATTCGCACAGTGAGTTGTCTTTTTCTCTTTTGGTTCTTTAATTTCGAGCCTCATGATAGACCTAGCTTCTACCCACGTTCATTTTTGTGAGGGACGGTTTTCACTTTCAACCACTACCTATGACTCAAAATGAAAGAGGCTTTTTCTTCCTGCGAATTCTTCTAATTGTTCCGCTTTAGTAATACCAGCAACAGAATCATCGTCTCAGCACCAGTAAGGAATTCAACCTAGCCATACCCATTATGTATACAGAACATTGTTTTGATCATTCAAAAGATGCTATAGGAGTGTTTGCAGAATGAGTACTTAAAGAGTAGTCCAACAAAAGGGGAGATTTGTCGTTCTATGGTCTGCTGTCAAGGAATCAAGTGAGGACAAACCACAATCCTTTGTATTGGTATAAAACAAAAGTGCTTTGACACATTTGATAGCTATCTTAAATGTACAATGTCTCTTAATATAGGTTTTCTTTAGAGATGAATAACTAGTTTAATTCATTTAACAAAAACGATCAAATTCTAACTCATAACCATAATAGATGATAATCTAAGCATTTTCTAAATCTCAATCCTAACGTATGAATAAATAGCTTGTAACAGAGTCCTGATGAATGTATACAACACCCATTCTCACACTTGGTTTGGAGTAAGCATATAATAGGTGCTCTTTTGTTCATTATCTATCTCATTTTGTTTGTATTATCATTCCTCTCTTGTAACTTAGTTCTTCCTACTATGTGTAAGATTTCTTTTTTTAGTGTTCAGAGTGCATTACAAGTGAGTTTGACAACAAAGGCCATTGCTCTGAGCTTCAGTTTCCATACGGTGGAAAAACTCAGTGTGGAAATGTTGAAGTACTTGGCTGCTGGATTGCAGAGAGAAGATTTAATATTGTGTTGACCCGGTTGGATTTTATTTTGATGTGTCGTTGTTAATTTGTTGATGTTATTGTGGTGATGTGTTTTGCTGTCCTTGATGACAATTCCATCATTGTGACTGTCGTCTTTTCTTATTCTATTATGTCTAGGTTCATTCCTAAAACGCCCATGTTACGTGTTGTTGCGATGCTCCTGTTAACATTGTTCTTGCTGTACCCTTGTCTCCGCTTCGTGAGCCGTGCTATTGCCGTTCTTACTTGGTCTCAAAGTTGCTCCCGACGTTAGTTGGTGCCTAGTGTTGATGTTGTTGTGTCTTTACGTGGTGGAAAATTTTCTGTGTCAATTTGAACTCAAAAGAATTGTCAATGATGCGCTGGTCAACGATACTTGTTGTGGAGGTCATGGCAATGTACTTGCTGTGCTCAAGCTGATAAGCAATTTGCAGGCCATTGACACATCTTTTCCCATGACAAAATGCGGTATTTTTATCCCCACGGCAGAATGCAGTGTTCTCTCTTCCTAAAACGCAGTGTACCTTTGGATGCCTTAAGGATTGCATCTGCATAGATCAAATCTAATTTTTTGTGATTGAGTACTTCCCGTGATTGGTAAGTGAATAAATTGCATTTTGCTTGTGTATCTATTTTGTATTTTTGCTCGTTGTATTGCTACGTTGTTGTGTTGTTGATTTCTTTGTCTTGTTGAGAATTGTTTCCGTTGATGCGAGACCTGCTGTTCCATATCTTGCTATGCCTTCGTGCAAATCTGTGCGTAGTGATTTTTTGTGGTTATTCCTTTATCCGTTATTGTTATCCTAATGTAGATGTGTCTTTGATCAACGTTTTGCTTAGTGAAATTGCATGTTGTCTCCTCTAAGTCAGTGTGTTGCTATTATTTTGATGTAAATCTCTATATTTTACATTTTTTTTTATATTTGTGTTCCTTTCATAAGTTAATTCATAAGTTGTGTTGTAGAGACTAATATATTTCCCTTTGCCATAGTGTTTCTATTTGAGAAGGAGGTTGTTACCTACAACTCTTGTCTAGTAATGTGTGTAAGTCCAAAAATAAATAATAAAATTGGATGAAATCAAAAATGTCTTTGCCATTGCTCCAAGGTTTTTAAGCAAGAAGGTATACATCCAACCATAGTAAAAACGGATCTTTTATGATTATCTTTTAGTAAAAATATTTCATTTTTTGGAAAAATAATCTATGTAGATTTTTTAATATATACAACCTTCACATACTTCTTTTTATAAGGATATTTACAAAATTCTACCAACTAATCATTGATTAAATAAGTGATATAAAATTTAGTAATTAATGTGATCAATCTTCTTTTGCCAATATCTAATAATGTATTTGGATACTAGTGAATTGTTCTAAATAAGTGCCTTCTCTATTATTGTATTATTTTTAATTATTTAAGTTATTTCAACAAGGCAACAAAGAAGCCATATAAAGATGATTCTTTTTTTCTTCAACTTTGTATAGTTTATTTTTTGTTCTAACAACTTGTAGATAAATCTCTCTTAGATTGTCTTTGTCAAACATACAAGAATGTTTTATACAACAATGTAATATGTCTTAAAATTACAAATTTTTTAACTAAAAATAAGTTAGTTTTTACTTCTAAAATATAAAAAATAATATTTTATTATTTTATTTCTTAAGAAGAAATTTTGAATTGTACATTTTCTTCTCCAATTATAAGTATAATTTATCCTCCAATTGTTCTAGTGCTAGATATTTCAAAATCTTTTATTTTTTTTAATAATTTTTTATTTTCATTTACATACAAGTTTGCTTCAAAGTCTAAAAACCGCTTATTTTTGGAATCAAATACATCAAATATACATTTATTATGGCTTCAATTAAATGATCTATTATGCATTCTTTCTCTTTGTCATCTTTTAATATGATAATATAACCTTCTTTTTTTTATTTGTAACAATTGAAGTTTTATTTGTTATATTTGATTTTCTTGATTCATTATGTCACATTTTTAAACAAAATATCTAAATTTTCTACATTTGTAGCAAGTAATGCATTTTTTTTTAATTATTTTTTAAATTTTAATTATATTTCTACTTATTTCATATTAATAATAATTTCATCTTTGTCTTTGATGATGACGACCAAATAGATATCTATTAAAATTTTGGTACAAGTGGCAAAAATAACCTGTTATGTATAAAAATTCTTTCTCATCAACTCTATATTTTTTAAGTTGAGAAGAAACTTCTTGTAACAACAAATCTTCTAATTTAAAAAATGTATCAAAAATATGAATTACAAATAATAAAATCCTCCATATGCTTTTGTGTCATTAAACAAGAATAGATATTTATTCAAAGATAATATAGTATTAGAACTAGAATAGCTATTGCCAAAGACAAAAGGACTAGAGACTTTTAAAATAAGTCAAGAAAGGTATCATGGATATACTATATGGAAGACTAAATAAGAAGTTGAACAAAAAAGTTTCAACAAGAAAACTAATAAGAACTTAATTAAACCAAATGAATACAAGATCAATACCAAGAGAGATAAGATGGAGCTCTAAGAAATGTATTGTAGAAACTAGGGATTTTATTAGCCTCAACTCCAATATATATTAGGTATTAAGAAGCTTCTTAAGAAATTTCCATGTTGCTTGAAGATGAAGCAACTTTAGGAAGCTTCTTAAGAAGTTTCAATGTTGCTTGAAGATGAAGCAATCTTAGGAAGCTTCTCAAACAACTTCTTTAATGCTCTTAGAACTTTTTAGAATCTATTAGAATATTTTAAGAACCATCTAGAATCTTCTAAAATATTTTAAGACTATTTTCAGATTATTTTAAGACTATTTAAGAATCTTATAGAATATTCTAAAAATATTCTAAAAATATTCTAAAAATGTTCTTGGATGTCTATAACAAAAGGTGTTGATAAGAGCAAAGATGGATTCATTCTTGCCTTTATATATACTATTTAACTAGGAACTATACAATGACCTTCTATATGACCTTTAACAAGTATTTAGCTTGAAAGATAAGTTTCTTACATGTGCAATACATGGCCAACTTGTTGGTAATTTTTTTAATCTACTAATCAACTACAAACATTTATAAAGTTAAATCTGCATCTATGAAGCTTCTCCACAAAATGTCATCAAATCTACCTACATTTATCTTCTATCTAATACTTCTTATTTATATAATTATATATGTGTAACAAAATATAGGTAATTTTATTTTGCGCTTTTGAATTTTCTTAAAGTTAGACCAACATTTAATATCAAAGCAATAATATCTTTACCACATAAAGATAAGTATATTCTAATTAAAAGATTAAGAAACAAATTAATTTCTTGCAAATATTTTCTTAATCCTTTTTCTAATTATAGAGAATACAACTTTTCCTCCAATGCTAGCTCTCTATAAGAATTTTGTACATCATACAATATTTAAAGTCTTTTTTAAATTACTTGAGGTATAAGAATACCAATTACATAAGAAAAGATAGACTCTTATATTATAGATGTAATAATATATCAACATTTAATACAATCTTGAAGAGTAAAAATTGATGTTGCATTCTCAATTATTGCTATTTGGTGTGGTGTTGTATTGTTGATGATTGGACCTTGTCCTCTTCTGCAGGATATTACAGGTGCAACTGCAACATGTGAAATTGTTAAGGGTTCTTTAGTGTTGATGAAAATGGATGGAAACAAATCAACTTGCTTCAAAATCTTTTCAACTATATATATGTAATGTGGCACCAGGCATCCCCGCACATCCAATGTTACAGACGGCGCCCTACTAGAGGCGGAGGCGTCGGGATGGAGCCGCAGAGCGTGAGGCGGGATGCTGAGCACAGGGATGTTGGAATTGGGTACGGGCGGAGTCGTGCAGCGCAGGGTGCATGGCGGGCGCGGAGGTGGTGTTGGCATGACAAGCCGGTGGGGCGTGGGATGAGTCGGCAGGAGGACCGAGGTGTGAGATGGTGGAGCAAAACAGCGGCACAACGCGGCGCCTGGAAGCCATCGGTGGGGACTGACGGGATCGGGGAGACGTGGGGAGGCAAGAGGGAAGGCAAAAGGGAAGGCAAAAGGGAAGGCAAAAGGGAAGGCTAAAGGTCCCGGCGAGATTTGAACTCGCGTTACTGGATTCAGAGTCCAATGTCCTGACCGCTAGACTACGGGACCCGCCGAAGTCAGATTGCCAGAAGAATCTGCTGATCGAGCGGCTGGATGGTGTTGACAGGCGAGACGCATGATTTAGCGCGCACGCACCGCGTCTCACCACTTCGTCCTGCCCTCCTGCATCACGCCTCAGTTCCTGCCCCACCCGCTGCTGTTGGGAGCTCCCGGCTTGGTACGCAGCAGTGACACGTTGAATCAGCTGCGAGAAGCACCATGCCCCACTTTTCCAACAGGTGTCTGAA